TACATTTCTGCTAATTTGAATGAAATCAAAATGCAACAATTATTGGTATACATAATATATGTATATATATATATGTATATATATATATATGTATGTATACGAATGTATGTGCATGCACGCGCGCAAGCATACGTATCTACAGTTGTTATGTATGGAGTGGGGCTCCTGATCACAGAATCGCAGAGCAGTTGAAATCAACGCAAATAAATTGGTGTTTTTTGAGAGGCTGTATATGTAAATGTAAATTCTCACAAACAACATTATGTGCGGTAATAAAATAAAATTTATAGCCTCTACTGTTGACATTCATTTTATGAGTGTACGCACACAAAAACACATCAACCAATACACCGGCGAGTGCTTGTGCCGGCCGCTTTGAGCTTTTGCATGTATGTATGTGGGTCGTCTGCGTGTGTGAGTATAGCCTATTGCACGGTTGATTGAAAAAAAAACAAACGGCATCAAAATTATCGTTAGCATCCTTTTAGTCCAAATGGATTTTTGGCAAAATGGCTGCCTATTTGCAATTCTGCTGATTTTGCTAAACTGAACGGAACTCATAAATACAATAAATCGCCGCAATGCACGACTAAAACCGTACACGAGTTTGTATGTGTGAGTGTGTGTGGCATGCGCGGCAATTGGCAATAAACGAAGCAGCAATCCTAAAAAACAGCCTGGCGAAAGGACAWCAATGCCGGAATGATTGCCATTGGATATAACCGGTAAAAAACAAACAAATATAAAAACACAAACATTTTGCAATTTCCATAATATTAGCATTTTAATTTATCTCTGCTCGCTGGCATAATCAATTTTTGCTGTTACATACATACATATGAAAATTCGGCTCCAATTGATTTGATAAGATACGAAATTATTATTTCTATTTTTTAATTGCACAAGCATATAATGAGAAACTTCATCCGAGAAACCGAGAAGGGGCATTTATGAAAGTGGAATTGTGTGTGAGTACATTTATTTGTATTTCTCTCTCCCTTACAGGAATCAAAGATTATCRATAGTTCCGAAATCTTGTTTCGTTTCTAAGGCTTCCCAATTTCGTGCGCTTTTCTTCGCTTATTTTCGACAAAAGTTCCGAGCGCAGTTCTGTTCTCAGCTGGACACTTGCCTGACCAACTCTATGGTACCCCAAAATTGCTCGTTTTCATGTATATCATTCTGGTTGGGGAGGGCTCGTTTTTTACCAGCAAATCGCAATAATAATAAAAGTAACGATACCAGCAATAAAGATGATTTGAGTGTCTGGTGTTTTGCGTATCTCTGGGTTGGCGTACCGCTTCTCATTCKTAACCACCCTAAACAAAAACAATGCCACCCCATATTTTACATATACATAAGCACATACCTAACGTAACCGTATTCGCATATGCACAAGTCGATTTGATTACTAACACATACGTACATCCATATACATATGCGCATACATAGGTTTGTCTTTTTGCAGGTCTGTAGTTATGCATAACAGTTAGAAAGCTTGTCGAAACTCGTCAGATTACGTACRCAAGAATATAGCCGAAGACAGAAACACCTTTCACGGAAGCCAGGCTAGTGGAAAGTAAATGTCAAAGGACCACGGTCAGACTTATATATGTGTGTATGCAGATAAAGTCATAAAATGTGAAATGAATATCTTCAAGTGTGTAACCGTAATAAAATGAAATGAGTCTTCGAGTCACCTCAGCTTTCATGCGCTTGGTTCGAGTAAATTAGATTAAAACGATTTCATTCCAATATAAAAACAAATCATATTGAAAACAAGAGAAGTGCTTCAACTCATTTCCTCCTTTAGTTTACATTATATACATATATTTACATATGTATGTATTTATAATCATACGTACCCATAACATGGGCTTTAGGCCTTCAATGCTTCCTCCTCGTAAAAACTTTATAACTTTGGGCGATAKTGAAGTATTTGAAGGAATTGAGAGAGGCTTTGAAAGAATTTCTTTTCATTTCTATTGCCGCATGTACATACATATATCGTTTGAGCAGACCAAGCATGCCATGCCTTCCCGGCGCTGGAAATAAGTAAGTATGTTGTATTTGGCTAAAAGGTGGAAATGATCGTCACTTACGCTGTTCTCTAGTGCATCCGATTTATATAATTTTTGAATACTAAGCCTTTAGTGGGCCCACCGATTGCCAAAAGCATTTGTCACAAGCGCACACAAATGCGACTGTTAACAATGTATGTATGTATTTTCACAGTTGGCTGAATGCAAATCACACTTATTGTGAGTGAGTGCTGCCAGTGTTGCGCCTAAATATTCGCCTTATTTACAATTGCTATAATTTCCCACTGGGACATTAGCGCGAGCGCGGCAGGCATGAGCTTGCATAATAAATTCAAAGCTAAGCCACTTATCTCGCACCGCTTTTCGCCTGTGCGGCTAGTTTCGCTCACAGGGTGTCATGATGGATGATGGAGCAATTGTCGAGGACCGCATGCTGTGCTGGCCTGGCCACCCACCCATTTCTCCACAAAGCAATATCATTTTTCATCGCTTTTACACAGACGCAGACAATCGCCCACAGTGGACACCGAAAATGGCAGAAACACAATGAATCTGCATGGATTCAAGTTTATTTACATATACACGCATGCATACACATCTACATATGAGTAACGGCACAATAAATGTGATGCTGTGGTCTTGTTCACGCTTGGGACATATTTTGCACAGTTTATCTCACATTCGATTCCATTCAAAAATATAATTTGAATTACGCATACACTCTGTGGTTGAGCGGAAAAGTGGTCCACAAGTGGCTAGTGTCATCCGCATAACACACTTCGTCTTCGCTTTATGGAAATCGCAGTGACAAACACTTTGCCAGTGTTGTTAAACGGTCAAAAGGTGTGTAATTCGTTGATTTCCTCTTTGATTGATGGTCATAGCTGTTGGGGAATGTGTGTAGATGACTGGGTGAATGTGTGCTACATACGTGAGTACAGATATGTGATTATTGTACAATGAATTCATTCAATCCTGGGTCAAAAAAATTATGAAAATCGACTACGTTGGCTCTTTTCGGATTGAACCACAATAATATTTTTCCTGTAATAAATTGAAAATTTCTCGAAACAGTTTTAAATTATAGGGAATCGATGTTGGGAATATATGTATGTAGGTTGATTAGAGAGCAGCAATGTAACTCATACGATATGGCATACCCTCGTAAGAGTGTAAAAGCTGCGTTGTTGTGGATAATTGAAAGTTTACGAATATTTTATGTCAATTTAAGCTGAACTAATTACCTTCGAAATGGAAGAGATAAAATTGAAAGAATTGCGAACTTTCTGCAGGGGGATACTTGTTTTTAATAAAATGCGCACATTTAAAACCAAACAATCAAAGTCAATCAAAACTCAAATTAGTTCTGGCATTTTGACTTTTTCTAATCAACGTTTTCCAGTTGCCTCATTTGGCCCAAGCAGAAAGATCGTGGACGTACTGCGTGCGAATACCAGTGACATACGAGTAAGCGTATATCCATTCGTATAGTTCAATATGTGCACAAGTATGTATATACGAGTGCATGTTACACAACTGTAATTTCAACGAAAATTGGACATTGCCAAAAGCCAAAGGTGTGTTCTGTCAAAGATAACACGAATGCAGGAACACAGGCACGCGCCAATTACAAACATATTCTGCCGACGTAGCTTCCACTATTGCGAAATTTTGAGAAAATGTACCTAATCTCCTTCACCCCCGTCCAATTACTAGTGGCGGCTGTATGTCCACCCTTACAATTTTACAACGCATTTTTATATTTCGTCTGAAGCTTTCTGTGAACACACTTGTGTGTGTGCGCGTGAATGTGTGCGTATAAGCACGAGTGACCATCTACAAGGTACTCCGTTCTTTGCAGATGCTTGTCGCCTCTGATGCCCACTGACGCAGCAACAACAGCCCACACTCGGCCATTTTATTTTAAGGCAAAGTTTAAAATTACACTCACACACTCACATACACATAGTGATACATTTCTTTTATGTGNGCTTGTGAACGCATCAGTTGGTCGAGGCGAGCGCTGTCTCTTATACACATCTAGATGTGTATAAGAGACAGGTTCAATATGTGCACAAGTATATACGTACAAGTGCATGTTACACAACTGTAATTTCAACGAAAATTGGACATTGCCAAAAGCCAAAGGTGTGTTCTGTCAAAGATAACACGAATGCAGGAACACAGGCACGCGCCAATTACAAACATATTCTGCCGACGTAGCTTCCACTATTGCGAAATTTTGAGAAAATGTACCTAATCTCCTTCACCCCCGTCCAATTACCAGTGGCGGCCGTATGTCCACCCTTACAATTTTACAACGCATTTTTATATTTCGTCTGAAGCTTTCTGTGAACACACTTGTGTGTGTGTGCGCGTGAATGTGTGCGTATAAGCACGAGTGACCATCTACAAGGTACTCCGTTCTTTGCAGATGCTTGTCGCCTCTGATGCCCACTGACGCAGCAACAACAGCCCACACTCGGCCATTTTATTTTAAGGCAAAGTTTAAAATTACACTCACACACTCACATACACATAGTGATACATTTCTTTTATGTGGGCGAATGTTTAGATACCCACGTAAGGTATATACAACATACACACATMCATGCATATGTGAAAATGTAAAAAAGTTCTACGTGAGGCTTTAGAAGTGAGTTCAGAGTGTGCGAATGCGTGGAAGTAAAGTAAAAAGTAATGAGCAGACTTCCCCGGCCCTTGACACGGTGGAAAGAAATAACTTTCAATCTCGTTTGGAATTCTGTTGATTCTTATAGCTCACCTCCCATTCCACATTGTTCGGCTTATTTCGCTTTTTATCGCAATTGAATTGGAAATAAAAGATTTGAAGTTGATTTTTATTTCAGTAAATTGCTACATGTCAAATGTATGTATATKTATGTATGTATAGCATGTTATACAAGTATATAAACGTTTATATAAATATATGTCGGTTTACATATATACAAGTGTWTTAAGCATGCATGTATAGAAAGTTGTTTGCAATGAAAATTGAAACTATTTGAAATTGCACCGAGTTTGATGAAAAGTTTCTTTGTGCAACCAAGCGATTTTCTTCCCCTCCAGTATCAATTTTAAGGCTAATTTACGAAGCTTGTCTCAAGTTTTTTCCGAACGACTGATGGATTTTATAAGACATAATACTCTTTAGGCCTTTTGTTTAGAGATTCGAAAAACACAGCATTTGATATGCTGTAATCACTAGCAAATTCGGAAACGACGGCCGTACGTATTAAGCGTTGGAGCTCTAAAAAGACAATAAGACTTTAAAGAGGACAAAGCTATTTCTATTTTATTTCAATTTGATCTTGCCATACATGCAGTTCAAAATCAAATTGATCTTTCGCAAATTTATTGAGTCTTCATTACTGTCCTCTATTTGAACGGGCTGCCAATAACTCACTCCACTTTTCTTTAACGTGTTCCTTATCAGATGTTTTCTTAATACGATAATTCGTCCACTCGAAATAGTGAGAAATAACGAATGCAAAGTGGGTATGTGTGTGTGTGTGTGTGTGTCCATCTGTATGTGTGTATATTGTGTATATTGAAAATAATTTGAGAAGTGGCTTGGACACAATTTTTCTTTTCCAAGCCATTTCATATTCAAGACGAAACTCAAAGATTTCGGACTAACCGCAGTCGTAGTTACTCGTATAATGGCGATTTGGTTGCCACATATTTTTTCATGGGGCATTTATGTACAGTTGTATCGTAGAAACCCCCGAGTGACAAAAAGTTTTCCACTTGCCCATTCCCTTCTTTGTATATCGTATTTTTCTTGTTTTCTAATGTCCTGTGGGGATAAAACGGTGTACCAACAGCCAACGGATGATAAGACGTGTGTGCGTGGGTGTGATGGCCCATGTGCCAAATTGCTATGCGCTTGTGAACGCATCAGTTGGTCGAGGCGAGCGCGTTCCAAATAATGAATTATTCTTCAAATACAAATATAAATGGTTAGTAAGGCTTTTTTAATGCTGTGTCTGGTATTGAAAATGCATAAAAATGCCATTTAGCATGTTCTCGAAAGGTATACTATACAATTCGTGTGTGCACATATGTACATATGTATGTACGTTTGAGTAAGTGTGATAGATGTGATATTATGTATATACATATGCGAGAAAGTTGGTAAGTTTTCCCATGGATAGATTTCRTACAATATCTGTACTAAAATTGTAATGTTGCTAAACTGGTGTCTGGGGAGCTTTTGATTTATGTTAAAATTGTTTGGATATTATAGATAGAATTTGAAAAATTCTGTGTTARGAAATTCTATGCCTTTGATCTTTTATCGAAATTGTTATGTGGTCGAAGTTTGAAATTATTTTCAGTTTAGTAAAAAGTAAAGCAACGCAATCTAACACGTAATGCTTCGCCATCGTCGCCTCGCACACTTCGTGTTTATGAGCGTTTTGTTTTTCGTAAACGAAATATGCAATGATTTACCTCTAATTGCATTTTWATGGTCATTTGTAGGAGAAGTATCACAACTTCGATGTCCTTTCAAAGGATTACCGTTGTGAGTTATGAGCAGTTATAATGGACCAACGCCTAACAGGAGGAATAATGTTGCCCTGGAAATAAATCTCAAGCAACGCTTACTTTTTAAGCTAATTTGATTTAATGGGCTTTACAGGGCAATCGAATTTATTTAGCTTTGTTTCGTTTCATCTTATTTGCGACGTTTATAGCTTTCTTGATTCAGCAAGTGACAAAAATTGCCGTTTTAATGGTGATTTATGAATGGATTGGGAAAATATTGAATTGCGCCGAGCTAAAAAATATAATGCATACATATGTACATAAAGAAATATATATGTATTTATGTGAAAGTGTATACGCGTGTATGTTGATATTTATGGACGGCAGTTATTCCTCATCTTGTGGCAGTTTAGATCCGCAAATGCGGAATGATTGTGATGCAGTGAATTATACGGCAATGTAGGCTCGTAGGCTACTACATACAATCGTGGTCTGGAATATAAATATGAAATTACAGTGAGATTTCTGYTGAAATTTTTAAATAGCAGAGAATAGGTACTCACCTGTAGGCTCTACACCTCTACACTGTGAATTTTTCAGGCTGCGAACATATGAACTCGGCGCTCGCTTGAAAAACTCAATCTTGTCTCGGTTCTTTCAAGTAAGTTTTGGTAATCCTGAAGAGAAGAGTTCTCAATGATAATTTGTTCATTGTGTTTTTAATGTCGACGCTCAATAATTGACAAGGTTTCTGTAGCTATCAATTCMGGACTACTGTATCACAGAGAGTATGTGCTCCACCTATTGCTTAGAATGTGCCGTGTAGGTCGTCCCTAGTTTACTGTTCTTTCTCTAAAATAAAGGGAAGAAAAAAGTTTTTCAATTACCAAAAACGTTATTGACCTTAGTTTGCACACCTCTCACGTTTTCCAGCATAGGGTGTGAAATATGTACACCCTCTCTAATGGCATACGGACACGGAGTCGAGAACTGTTAGCTGCTCATATCATGAATTTGAGAGAACATATTTTTCTTCCAGATGATGAATTTCTAGCTACCACTACATACATACATACTTATGTATGATTGCTGTCTCTTATACACATCTAGATGTGTATAAGAGACAGCTCTAATGGCATACGGACACGGAGTCGAGAACTGTTAGCTGCTCATATCATGAATTTGAGAGAACATATTTTTCTTCCAGATGATGAATTTCTAGCTACCACTACATACATACATACTTATGTATGATTGTATGTATGTACATACTTTCCAAATTCAATGCTCACAAAACGACATACATATTAATCTCCATATTTGTATGTGCACATTATGCAATGCAAAAAGAAACAGCAATTTTATGTATCTATTAGTTCACATTCGCAAGTTGTGTCAAAATGAAAAATCAGCTTTCCCAAGCATTGTTTGGCATAACAATGAGCTGTCCACACATGCACACCGCCACTTGCCCATACATACATACATACACAGTTKCTAAGAGTTGTATGTGCACAAAAGGATAAATAATACATTTGCTCCAGCCACCTCTCCTGCCCTTGCCCTACTCCATATTTTTTGTTGAAACACATACATAAATACATACAAACTAATCGTACATAGTTACATGTGTATGTATGTATGTACATAGCAAAAAATAAGCATTTTGCATTATTCATTTGAAAGTATTATTGAGTTGAGAGAGAATATCAACAATTTATTTAGTGAAGCTCTTTTCCGAACTAATATCCATAAAATAGCACCTGGTATAAGTTTTTAAACACTAATCTTAAGAGCAAGTTGTGAGCATTTTACGATTTGATATCAATTTAATTGATTTAGCTCTAATAACTTGTCTCTGAACGAATTTACAATGTTATTATGGTAAGTTGGTTACAAGCAACCGTGATTTTAATCAGATATTTATAAGCAATTAACTAAATTATCCTTGTTTTTGTATCGTAAATAAGCGTGGACCTTGTAACCGCATAAAATGATCCACATTCAAAAAACCAGCCGATAGTTACCCAGCATGAGACATCAAATGGGCAAGGAGACTTTCTGCTTACTTTCGAACTAGTTAGAAACAGATCAGATTAATACCAATACAGAACAATTCATTAATTAGTTATTTAATTCGACTTCCAATATTCACGAACAATCATATCTATTGTTTAGACTTCTATTTGGTTATATTTATTAAACCRGTATGGCTATAGTATTCTTCTAACGGTAATCCAACAATTGACGTCTCATAGGACATCAACAGCAAAAGATATTACTTTCATGTGTGAAGCAAAAAGAGATGTCTGACTAGTTGAGCTTGTGGGTCATGCGACTCTAGTTGTAGAAACTGCTTATAATTGATTTTATTTAACTTCAGGGTATATACATACAGCAGTTTCTGTCCAAACATCTTTCGAGAATCCTTACTGATCAATAAAAATTTGATTTGATTTTGATCCAAAAAACGCACGATACTTGCAAATAAAATAAGGCAAAGCCAAAGAATATAATCGTAATATAAGCGTAAGCAGAATTTGCATTCCTTCTATTGTATTATAAATCTTCGATRGCTAAATCCAAAAGAGAAAAAGCTGATACTTTTTCAAAATTAAGGAGTAATACTTGCTGTGGTATAATGGCGCTTTCGAGGTTAACCGCATGCACATTCACATATATGTACATAAATAAATTCACATATGCACACAAAATATAGATGTCCACCCTCAAGAATTCGTACGTTCGCACTTTTCCCCCTTAATTTGAAGAATTTTTGTTGTGTTTTCGTTTTGCCCTCTCTCCTCGACCGCATGTAGCTTAACAACTCCTGCTTGTTTGAAAACATGAGATAGGAAACCTTCTGCCATGCGAATCCTATAGAAGCGTTTATGGAAAAGGCAAAATTGGAATTCACAAAATTGTGAACAACTTTATAAATATGTTTATTTTTTGGTTTGTTGGTGAATTTTTACTGTTAAAATATTACAAATAATAAAGCACCCTCCCTCCGTCTTACGCCCACGTCTTGCTGAGACGCTTTTGTCCAACAAAATTGCAAATTCGATTACAATTTGAGTTTTTCAATCTCGAGGGTGAGGGGAAGAAATGTGAACGGCGAACGGATGTCTGTTTCCATGTTCTTTTGAATGGATAAGCAGTCATAACAAATAATGGAATCCGTAATTTACTACAGCAGTATTATTCGATTGACCATCTATGTTTATTTTATATTTGTCTGACTGTTTATACGTATGTAAGTAAAGTTTTAGTTTTAYTATTCTTCATTTGTTAATCATTTCGAATTAATTCTTGGTTGCTTAGATTTCCACACTATCTTGATATATGCATTTTATTTCGCTTTGCCACAATACTTCAAATKCACAGAACTGTAGTCCAAGAAAATTGCTTTTTAGAAATAAAACCATAAAATGAAAATATTTAAAATTTCTGGAACGACACGACCTACCAACTGCACTGACGTTCCTGGATTGAGTGTGACAGCGAACGAACTCTCTGCTATTTATAGCTCTATTCAAATGAWATGTCAGTCAAATATTGTATATAKGTATGTATTTATTTGTAGGTGTTTTCGTGCTTTCCAGCCATTTTCCAATTTTAAATTTGAATATGCGCAGCATCTGCAGTAAGGAAGTTCTTCCGGTGGTTGGATGCACGTGGAGAGTCGTGCAGTTGATGACAAGTAGGGGTTACTATTGTGCTTTATTTCACCCCTTTTATTGTAATTGGAACAAGCGTTGATGGCAGTTCTTCAACCCTTTGATATTTTGTGTATGCCACAAACGGTTTAGAACTCAGTCCAGAGTTCTAAAAATTCTATTACTTATAACAGTTAGGCATGGAAATCTCCAATCATAGGGTGAATGTGACATTTAATAACCGGTTAGTGAATATAAACATTGAGGMGAAGCGCTGCAGGATTCTCATCTAYYAAGATGTATACGCATTGCCTGATATCTGCTCATATCAGTTATGCCTCATTTATGTTTAACAATAATTTCAAAGTGTCGAAGATATGGTCATTCTCTACTAAATATTTGTAGTATTGCTAAACACTAGAGGATAACATTTCGGTGCCTCAATGTATATTCATGTATGCATATTCTCATGCGGCAGTTTTTATCTGCCGACTCACATCATTTTTAGAAACAAATTAAATTGTTCGAGAATCTAAGGTTTAAATTTGCGGCTAGTTTAGTCATGAAGTCTCACTTATCTCCTATCTAAAGCATTCACCGTTAAGTTCATATAAAATCTGAGAGATTTTGGTCAGATTAGGCTCAAAAGTCTTTATTATGTAATTGAGAATCAAATTCAATATAACTTGGATCTGAAGCATCATAAAATCAAAGTACCAAAAATTGTACACAATTTACGCATCAACCGGAGACATAGGAGGACAGACAGATCCAGCATTTCGCGGGCCATTCGAGTAGCTTTCACTTTGAACTCAGTCATAGTTCCAGCAGGGGTTTTTGTGGTGTATCAATGACGTTATGAATTGAGCATCATGATCAACTATTTTGTTTGGGGATGAGCAATTATGGTCATTGCTGCCATACATACATGCATGTGTATCTGTTGGAGCGTACTTGAAAATAATAACGAAGGCTTGTTGTTGCCGCCGTAGTCGCTCTCCACACCGAGTTAAAATGCAATTCAAATTGAATGCATTTGAGTTATAATTCGGAATTTTTTAAAAACTGCCATCGATAATTGCATTGCATGCATAAATGGCTCACTGTATGCCACTGTGTGCTTGGCATGAATATGTATGTATCTGTTCCTATGCACATGAGGCACTTGTTCGCCTCACTGCTGAATGCCATTGCTCATTTTGAATTGTACAAAGAATGCCGTTGCGAATTCTTATGCAAATTTCAGGTGATTGTTCGCTTTGTCGCACGTCACGCTAAAGTCAACAAGTTGCACTCGCCAAGCTACAATATTTTCCATGTATGTGCATGTATGCATAAGAATATGTGTATGTGTGTGCTGCATGATCATGAAATTTTCAATTAATTTGCATTGAATGATCGTTTGTCTGGGATTTGCATACTCTCAAATCAAAGTTAAATCACAARAGAATATAAATACATAAGTACATAGAAAATACTCATATGCCACACATTTACTTTGTACGGTATTTTACGATATTAGAAGTTATTGAAAAGTGGTAATTTTGTGGATGTTTCTCAAAAGCTTTGTTCGAACACTGTCTGAGGGAGCGATAGGGCGTACTTCGCTTGAACCTGGTAGCTGCCAGCCAAACTTGTAAAGACAACAACTAATGGAAGCATGCGTTACATAACGAATAATATAGACCCAGGTACTATATAATATGAGCAGTCGCTTAAAGAGTTTTCCTGTTGTGCAGAAATTGGAGCACAGGGCCTACTGTACAGAGAGTTGACCGCCAAGCTATAAATCACATACTATTGACTCTTGCCAATACATTTGCAACATACGCCACGCATGCGCATGTGTGAGTAAATATAAACGAAACGATCGATCAGTTGATTGCTGGTGTCAATGCAGGAAGCTACTTAAATTCCTTGAAGTTCATAGTTAAATGCTCACGAACTATGTGCGTGAGAATTCTTCCATCGGCTGAGCGAGTAAACACACTGTGAAAAAATTAGCAGTAATTTACAAATTAAACATGAGAATCGTCTTCGAGCTTTCGAGTCTTCGAACAGCGCATAAGATGTTCAATGCATTTAATCACATATTTATACACGCACACAAACACAAACATATGTATACATTGATGAAATGCGCATAGACGCGTTTATTGGCATTACTGTGCGTGTATGCGTGTATGCGTGTGTGTGTCATGCAAAAACTGCTAACAAGATGATGCGAGCATATTTGCTTGCTTATAAAAGCAGCGAACATGCATTGCTTCGGAATGATTTCCAAGAAGTCCACAATCGCATCTTGGCAAGCTGCAGGTTAGTTGCCTACTGAGTGAAGTGWTGTTAATAAGGCGTCTCATAAATTACCGCCATTTATACGAGATCACAGTTGAGACGCCGTGACAAACTTACCGCTGCAACGGCACTCGGGCAGCGCAAAATTTAATATGATATAAATGCATCTGAATGCGCACACACTTACAAATTAGTGCCCAGGCACATTGGCGACATTGTGTGCAGTAAGAGGTGAGGAGTTTGTGCAACAAGCGCAGAAAATGCTTAGGCATTTGGCGTCATCCTGTTGCACCGCAAGCTCCTTATTGATATCGCGAGCGTTTTTGCTTTTTAATTCAGCAGAAGAATGTTTCCGTGTTGATGCGCGCTATTAAATTTACATCACACTTTACATAAACAAAGACATACWTAAGTATAAAGTTTTGCCGAATAATTGATAATCACGGAGAGCTTTGCACTATCGGGCACTAGAAAACGTAAATTTTCCCGTTGCCAATTGCTAGCTCTGCAAGGGGCAAATTATTATTTTTTCATATTTCAATAGCTTATACCTGATTCTTGGCTTAAAAACTTGAGTGTCGCCCAACGTTTTCATGGTTTTTTCTTCATAGGTCACAGTACGACCACTTTTTGCATTTTTCCGCCAGAGACATTATTTTATCGGAGTAAAACTTTTCTGGTTTCTTGGTGAAAAACTGCGACATTATTGTTGTACTTGATTCACTTTTCGTCTCCTGTTACCATTCGCTTCAGAAATAGTTCGATTTCATTTCGTTTCAGCAAAGAACCGCAGATGTTAATCTTTATATATAAAAATCACGTGTCACATTGTTTGTCCGCGATGGACCCTGAACTACTGAAGCGATTTTAGTAAAATTTAGCACACTGTATCCAGTTCGAGCCAACTTAGAAGATGGATGGATGGTGAAAAACATTCATAAATAAAAAATACAGTGAAAGCTCTATTAAGCGGACAACTCTATTAACTGGACAGAAAGACTGGTAACCAGACATTGAGAAAGCAGCCTTAAATTCGTTATTTTTCCAATATAATTAATTTGTATGAACATATTCAAAATTAAATATCAACTACAAGCCTGTGGATTCCTATACCGATAGAAACGGTTTCGCCTTTATTCGCAAATAAAATTTTCACTGTATAGAATAGTTTATGACATGAATAATAGTATAAAATGTATACCACAGCGACGCGTGGCCGGATCCACTAGTAACATATATTATAAGCCCTAAAAATTCCAAAACAATCCATAAGACAAGTAGTTTCGTTTTAATTCCAAAAATCKTCTTTTTAAGGCTGCCACACTAGGTGGGCCCCTTAAGTAAAATTTTAAAATAAGTGTAGAACTCATTTTGGGGTATTAGATTATTTTAGGCAACAACAGCAGCTACATCTAACGAGAAATGTTGCTGATGGAAATGCTCGATTTCTGGAAGAATGGAAAAATGTTCGCCATTGAAAATGTTCTAAAGAGAGATTGAATGTTGTTGTGATATAAAAAGGGTTGAAAGAGATTAAAATAATGGTAGCAAAGGGTTGTTTCCTATTTAACTGGAGGACTGGGGGAGAGAAGTACACTACGTACTTCATTACTGCACTGAGTTTCTCGTTGCAAGGTTGTGCTGTTGGACCGTCAACACAAGCAACAACGTTAAAAAACAATATTAGAAAAATAATGAAGGTTTGAAGTTAATGAGGAAATTATCATATAATATAAGATATATACTCTTACAAAGGATCTGAGAAGTGGTTTGGTGCGGATAATGGAATTAAACAATTACACCTACGGTGGTATGACTTTTGAAGAGGCTTGTGAAACAATGAGTAAGAAACCAGCGAAAACGACATTTCTTTCCCAATCAAATAATGAGTTTGTAATAAATAGACAGGATCTTCATAAACCTGTGTTTACTATATTTGATAACTGTTTAATGTATTTCTTTGCTTCACTCAAGGTACATATGCTCTGGAATCCTCCGGTGTGGAAAAGAAGCAAGAAAGTGTGGATCTTAAGCAGATGGATGAGCTGTAAGAATTAGGAATTAATAAATATCTTTCGAATAATGGTTAGATAGTATCATACCAARGTGAGGATATGTATATTGTAAGCACCGTCAGTTATTTTGCGAGGTATAAATTGACATCAGACGGATATGAAAGATTAATCTTGAAAGCTTTCTGTTCTGTTCACCCTTAAGACTGTTCTCCCGCTACTGGACACTTCTTTGTATAGAGGTCACAACTGCGAGTCCGCCAAAAAACACTTGTGAAAGATGAACACATACTTTGTTCAAATTGATTAATCATTATAGAGAATGTACTCGCACATAACTCGGTGAGAGCATTAGGTAATGTTGCCTTTGTAATTAGATCCACTGCAAAGATAAATTGTTTAGACTTTGTACGCACGTTGTATTCATATATGCAATACATATATGTAGTATGTATAGATATGCGTAAAAACCAGCATATGCATGTATACTCATCGAGGTCTAACTGTCGTAAGCATCAATATCGGTGCCGATAATGACAATCATTGTAATTATTTCTACTTGTATCACCATAACTTAAAGCTAATCAACATACCCGTACACTCCGCATATTGCGAACTAACTTGCCCACATACATATATATGTACATATACATTCTCGTATATGCGTGCGAACTCTAAATAAGGCCTTTGCAACTTCTTCGGGTTGACTTTTTAGTAAATTGTGTGTARCCATTTAATAAGAGACAGTTTCACGAGCAGCTGTGTGCATCCATGATAATAATATTGGAAATACGAAAAGACTTTTTCGACTACCCAATACATGCTTCTTATGAATACTCCCATAAACACATAAATGCGTTTTGACATTAGTTCTCAAAAACCAATATGAATTAGAATGCAAACACAATCAAATTTGAATAAAAGCAGGACTTTTTCACAATTTAGTGGCTGCCCACGAGTCCAAAAGTCTCGACGGCACTCTAATGAATTTTGATCGTATCAGTATAATAATTTGATAAGGCAAAATACTCAGGCTTTGAAGAAAATCTACAAAAAGGGGCAAAATCTGGTCACTTTGTGCATCAATGTTCAAATGTGTGTGTGAAAAGGTGCGCATGRTCATAACATCAATGCAAAACGCAGAAAGCATTGAATTGCTGAATCATTAGCCAATTCATCGCCAATGGGTATTTGCGGCGCCTGCGATCTCCCTGCGATCACCGAAAGCTGCGGCTATGAATGGCATTTTCTTGCATTCCTCCAGCCTACAAAGAATTTAAATAATCGATGCATTCAAATAAAGTCACATTGAGGCCACCGAAACGTGTTATCCGAATGGGATAGAGACAGAGAGTAGGCATCGGATTGCTCAAGCAGACAGTTTGGAAGCTGGTGTATGCAGATGCCTTCAGAGGGGAATGCGGAACGAGCATAGCATGGAAGTATTTTGGCCAAGGTAGAATGCGCATGTTGACAGGGCTTTATCCATTGTTGTGCTCGCAGTTAGTATTGATTATATGTATTTKTATATATTCAGAAAATGAAACAATTATACATAACATATGAATATGTACAAACATATGTACACATATTAATACGTTCCTTATACCTTGCACTGATAACTTCACCTACACTACTACAGCAACCGAAACGTAAAAATTAAAGCCACCCGCTTACCCGATTGCCTCTGGCCTTTGAGTACAAAATAATTTTTATATGTATAAGTATACACTCCATATTTTGTGATAAAGGTGTGCCGCCAGACTTCTTTTTATGTCTTGCCTAGTTAATGAGATTCCTGTATGTACATACTACATATGTATTTAGATAGGCGAATACAACTACAAATACTTCCCCGATCAACACACCAACATAATCTTCGAATGAAAGCATACCATTCGGCGCATATCACGAATTATATTTTATTATAATATTTTGAAACACACATAAATGAAAAACCTCCTGCATCAATTATAATATTTCGTTTCAGATCTACATATAGTTTCAATACGAAAGGCAATCATTGCCATTATAAACAGAAGTGTGTGCTAAATTTTGAGTCTCTATTGGTGATCGCACTAACTTACTCTTTTACTAATTTTAGCTCGACAGAGAAATGAGGCAAACGAGCAAATACAGCCAAACAGCCATAGAAGAGCGTGAGACCAGCTCAGCCACTCAAACCCCAATTGGATGACGATAAGAAGACGTGAATTGTGCCTGATCGACTTTTTTCCGAGAAGTCATCTCAGTAGCTGAGAACGTCTACAGTCTCCACCCACTGGAGTGCTAACACATTAACAAAAGCAGATTAAGTGGATTAAAACAGAGGCATAGCGATACAAAATTTTCGTAGGGCTCAATAATCTTTCCAATAACAACATTTTGAGCGGAAAGAGCTTGATGAAATTAAGTCTGCGCTAAACTCAAATAACGGCTTTAACGAAAGCACAACTGCCTGGCGAATGCAAAAATACTTAAGAGTTAAGCGAACAGTAAAGAGTTGGCGTTGCTGTGAGTAACCAAAGATTTCTCAGAGCGTACTGTAAACATCTCTGAGTCGGTAGGTGCTATCTCGTGAATTATTGGCGTTGTGGAACCTATTGCATATATGCTTATTTATACTCTGTTTATAAATATGTTCACATATACACTTGTGCTGTTGCAGCAGTCGATAATTCTCCCAGACCTTTTAGCCGCCTTCTGTTTAGAGACAATTTTTTGAAACGTAAACTTTTCTTTCATTATGCGGTAGTATTAGGCAATGGACTTAATACGTATATATGTATATATTTCCGAATACCATATGTATATATTGGCCATTGTTTGAGTTGGTATTTTCCTAATGATAGTAGAGAAGATCGGCAAGCCAACAAAGCGGCGAGTACTCGATCGTATCCTCGACACAATTGGACATTTTCCAGCAGCGATGTGCAGTGAAGCTTCGATTCGAACGCAATTGGAAGGCGGTCGGAGTGTTCACTTCATTGTCCGATTGTCTGCCGGTGCGTTTGTTTGATCGGTGCACGGGAAGATCGCGTTTGTGCAAACAACTTTGTTGATATGGTATATGTWGCGGCACTACCGTGTTCAAAAGTTAGCAAAAACTGGTGAGATTAGAATATCACTCGGATATCTTGCATTGTGCCTCTTGGTTGGCAGTCATTATTAATTATTGTGATTTTTCGCAATGAGTGTGCCCTTTACGCTTCTAAAGTGAAGTTACCGCGCGTTACWTTGTTGAAAACCATCGGCTACCGATCAGCAATCCACGACGGCATTTCTCAGAAGCTCCGGCAAAGAGTGTTTGAACAAGTGATCCGAATTTCGGGAGGCGCGTTTGACGATTTGCGAAGCTGGTGCTCGGGAGAACTGCGTTAAAGTTGTGCCTTCATAAATGTCGATATCAATTAAATAACATTGAATATAGACTTGACTGCTTTGAATGGCCTTAAGTTTCCTAATTAATGCAAAAATAAAAAATAAAAAGGTGTGTGTCTAATTTATTATATAATATCAACACGTGTAACTTGCTTAAATCTCTAGAACTTAGGAATATTGCTAGAGTTGTATACATATGTAGGTATATATTAACAGCTGAAATTCGTGGTATTTGAGTTTCTTAGAGCTACTGTTTATTATAAGTCACTTGGTTGCTCTTTTAAGTTATAGTTTGAGGGTGTAAGTGGCTGTCTCAGGTACAGATGACGCAAACATTGGTAATTGTTGGAATGCAGATTATTTTTAATAAGTTCACTAATAGCCTCACCAGTCACACTGTCCTAGCAGAAACTTTAGACGCTCACAGATATGCAAGTGTGTATTTATGTATAGGCGATATGAGTTATTGAACGATATGGTTGCGTTCTGATTTGCGAGGTAAGGCACATGCACACATACATATGTACACAAACACATGTTTATGTAAATTATTGTTTAACTGGCAAGAAATGCGCTTAAAAAATGTAGTTTAAATAAAAGATAAGTATTCAACCTGTGTTGTTTATATTTGACACGATCGAGATATAGACAAATGTATTTCTCGGATAAACAAACGTATATTCGATATCAATTTCAATATGTCGCATATTTCCTTCACTTCAATAAAAGTATTTTATTATCATTTATTAACAAAACACTTGCGTGCATGCACTGCACGTGTGTGCGTGTGTGTGTAYATTTGAATATAAATATGTACATAGGCATTGGCAACTTACCTATGCATGTACATACCAATAAATCATCAATACATAGACGGCATGCATAATAAATAATTACTCACTTGCACTTATGTATGTATGTATGTACTCATGCACATGTAAAATGCATATACATACATATAACTGCACATATGTCAATATGTGTTACCTGCAGTGCCATCAATGCACGTTTTATGTGTACAATCACCGCGCCGAGGAGCATTTCACCGTTCCACGGGTACAGCCCCGGCATGTCTTGCGCCCTTATCACTTTAATTGTTTATTTGGTTCTTATTTGCTCTCAAGTGTTTGCACTTTAGTTATATTATTTTTGTAAGTATTTACTTTTGAGTTTTTTGTATGAAAGTGCGTTGCAGCCCGCAGCAAAGCTCCGTTTACAGACTTTGAACCTGTAACAGTGTCACTAAGGCCTTCGACACTTGTACTCACACAGATTGAATGTACGCACAAGTTCATCATAACCTCAAGGTGTACAAATGCGGAATTCGAAAGCTAGGAACAAACATCTTGCAKTGTGCCTTGATGCTTGATTTTTCGTTTTGACATTATAACGATATATCGATTGTATATATAGTTATATATAAAATGTTCTTTGTTGTAAGTAAATGCAACATTAAAAGTTAGGCACACATCCTAAGTGCTTGCCTAAAATGAGAGTTATGCTAACAAAACAAAAGGTTCATCACTGATCTCGAAAAATATATTTGTCTGTACGTTTGCTAGCTTCATTAAATTTATGCAATTTATAAGTACAATCTTTTGCAATAAACCCAAGCCAAATGACTTTGGCGAAACCCGATCCTGGGCACTACTAGTTAGGTTATTTTCCTTTTTCCAACTCTGAAATTAGTATGCAAATAARCGTCAATATTTGTATCACAGTAAAGTCGAAGTACTCACAAATAAATATACTTTTCTACTACTGAGATTACGAAGAACGTCTTTTTATTTTGAAGTGATAATTTATTGCCTTTATAGCTCGCAATCAATTAGCGTGTGAATGTATGTTGAATAGACGAATATGATTGCATGTATTTAAGTATAAGTACTACGGTATTTACCTGTTTGAAAACAACAGGTTCCTTCAGCAAAGAAACTCTTCGATAAGAATGGGTATTCGAAAGATAAGACTTCAGAATTTTATGAATAAATTTACATAGTATTCGTCAGCGTAATTCGTCATGCATATGCATGTATGTTGGTATATTTTCGCAATACTCATTCGAGAACCCACATACATAYATGTACATATGTACATACATACATATGCAAGCTAAGGTGGAATACAGTTTAATTCTTTATTTACAGATTTCGTTATCAATTTGCATGACACTTGGAAATTGTTTCCTTCATATTCACTTATTAAGTGTATGTATGTATATAYAATACATTTGTATACACATATGTGTCTATAAAGGTATTTGTTGAAATTATCGATTCTGATATTCAATAAAACTTATAAAATTAACAGGAATAKCACATTAGTGCATCAGGGTGTAATATTTGTTTTGCTTGAAATTGAGAATGGARTGACTATATTCTAATATGACATAAATCAGGATTAAAGAAAAGTCATTTACACTGAATAGCAAGACCCAGTCACTTTACCGCTTGACAGGCGACAGGCGACAGGGCTTGCGACAGCTAAGMATAGGCTGGGTCGCACATACTCGGCAGGTGTAAGGAGTACCTGTCGCCAGYGCTTGAATATTCAGTACACTTTTTCCACAGTAAATCCATTGTTTAAACTTCAATAAATAAAAAGGGAATGTAATCAGTTCCGTTCGATATTTATATGACTTCCATTGAAGTTCATATCTTTGCCCCTCTTATCGCTTTGAAATATAGTATTCTTATTATGAGCTTTCTGTTTCTGAATAGGTGATATGTATTAGTAGTGTAGTTTTATTTGTATGTAAATAGCTATCAATATAGGAGAATGCAGCAAAATATTTTGTATTTATATTCATTCCTTTACCAGGTTATTATCATGTTATTTGCTTACTTACGTTGTTGTAATTATAAAAAAAGAAGAAATTTGATCACGTATGCCTAAATGAATATTATTGTTATGATCGTTCGTCACTGTTGCCTCACTTTTTATTGGACTGTGTTTGCTTTCTGCTTAAATCATTTTTATTTACATACATTCTTATACATATGTATGTATGTCCGTATATGAGCACTGTATCAGCTATCAATACTTACATACAATGGTACAGTTTCAAGTGGTTCGAGYAAATGTTTCCCAATTACCTCAGCTCACCGATTTTTTTAAGAAAATTGTTAACAAATGTGAATATGAATCAAAAATATGGATATATATTATATGTAAATGTGAGTGTGTTCATTAGTTAAGAGACTGATGTTTCGGTACTTTTGTTGTGATGACTTTAAGGCAATGAAACCAGACTTTCGGATGAACACTGTTGCTAGTTTTACAAATTCTATGATTAATTGCAACTACACGCTTAGTCTAATATATCTAGAAGTGACAGCAGTCGATAATCATACCATATCTGCCTTTTGTTGAAAGCCATACCGAATGGTGGTTCTAGAGCAAGGAACTCTCGATGTTTCCAACAAATTCTGAGGAGCGCTTAAAAAGTACGAAATAAAAACTCTACWCCTTACTCCTAAAACTGTACTTCTGCATGCGTACACACATGTATGTGTGTTTATAGTTCATCAATGCGTTGAAAACTGTTAAAGAAGAAATTTGTATCTAGTAATTGACGACACCGAAATAAGTCAAAAGTAAACGTTAATTTGACTTGACTACTGTGCAACATTCTTYATTGGTTCATCAGTAAAATGAGATAAACTTCAATGTACACAATCATAATTACGATGACTCTATATTTTCCGACCGTTAAGAATGCTCGGTTCGATGCCATTGCCAGTGCTGAATGTTCTGTACTCATACATGTGTGTGAGTGAGATTGTTTGTTGACTTCTTCTCTGCTTTTTACAGTTTTATCATTATAATTTTGTTGTTGTATCGTTATTTAGAGTTATGTTTCAGGTGTTGAAGTTATCTCAAAGTGTGTTTCCTTACTTTGGGACACGTTCAATGCTTTCTTAAATCCCGAACTAATTAAAATGACAAATCGTTCGCTGAGAAATGGGTGCACAAATACAAGCTCAAATACATACATAGTATATAGTATGTGCAACATATGATATTTACTTAAATGTTTATACGGGAAGTACATGTGCGCTTAATGATTTCTTGTCAGTATTTGTCCGGGCGACGAACTACCTAACAATATTTGTTGGAAACTAAAAAAATTAGCTGCCTATTCTGTCGGTGCGGCAATGAGTGGGCATGTTTGGTATTAGCTTCAATCAGTCTTTATGGTCTTGTCATCTCCTAGAGCCACTAAGCTCGAAATACGATTTAAAAATTTAGAGGTGTCATGGCATTATGTCCGCAATGGAATATAGATGAACTATGCATTGTAAAAATTAGTTTAGCAACGATACATAAGTTCATATTTGTATGTATGTGTGTAAAGAAAAACAAGATTTAAAGGTATTCAAATATCTATACTAATTATGTACACATCAGATTAGGTCTTATGTGGATCATTTACCTTTTAAAAGACAATATATATAGTCACGCTTTTGAACATGGTTGAAGAAAGAGAACAGCTTCTAAAGCTCTTACAAAATCAGTAATATTTCCGGTTCAAACATGTTCTGTTCACAGACAGCAGATTAGAATGTGGAGACTCCAGCAGGTTCATGAAGAGACACTTTTACAAGCTTACGTTTTTCCGATCCATTGGAAATTTAGGCCGATAGAATAGTGAAGGGTTCATTGTTCAACTTCGGTAGTACTTAGTTTAGTGGAATATGAGCACAATATTTCTTTTTTATAGTCGAAGATATAGTTGATGGTTTTCGCATACCCGAAAAGGATCTATTCTCTCCAGATAGATTCAGCACTGACGATCTTAAAATAACTTTTGAATAAATGCAAGGAGATGTCAAGGAACATATCAAATCGTGGAGGAATGTCATTGTGCCAAATTTATGTAAGGGTTCGTAAAAAGCATGGATTTGGATATTTTCCCATATTTACCACAATGACTTTTGATATACATATATATATATATATCTATAATGTCTAAGTTATAACCACTAATCTCATTTTTAACTCTTCCAGACGTACGATGCATGTGGCCTAGGAGTGGTTGTGGTAGGGTCGGAGTTACTTATGTCAAATAATCGTTGAGTTAGGTTTCGGTATGCCATTGTTGCTAGCAAATTATCAATCGGGTATTGTTGTTGCTCAAGTGGCATACGGCATGTTACTGGATTACAATAACATTTGCGTGATGAATAGACTAAATGCTGATGACAAGCACAACCGCAAGTATTTCCTTGAATTACCGACACATGATTTGTTGGACGATGAGAAAATGTCCTTACCGRCTGTCAGGTCGCGAACAGGGTCTGCCACTGCGACATTTTCATATCACCAAAACGTTGACCCATACTGTCAAAAAGAGACACAACAACAAATAAACACTCAATGCAATTCCATGGCACCAAGTGGCAGTGGCCCAACACCTCTTCAGTATTTAAACAATATCTTTGGGTTGAAAGCTCCGTCGCAAACAGCGTTCGCACCCCCAAATATCTCGCCAGAAGATGTTTTTGATTGGAGAAGTTTTCGGTATTCAAATGCGACCAGACATTTCGAACTCAACCATTGCGATAATCAGTCTCAAGAAATATGCAGCAGTAATATGCCCCAGAAGCAACATCGCTCTTCTCTACTGTCAACAGGTATGCCAGCTGATCTAACGAACCAATTCCATCAAGCGCCAATCGGAATTACCGCTACGTCTGCGTTGAAACGTGAAGATAATACCAATGATTCATCAATGAATAAGAGTCCGACGCGCGTATCTCTATTGGCAGCAACGCTGAATGAAATAACATACAATATACCGAAAGGGCCTGGAGCGACAGCAAACGCGATCACAACAGCCTCTGTTGCAGCGGAAGTCAAAGCCAGAGACGGAGTCAGCGGATCAGCGGTAGCTGAATGTCCAGAAGTGGTAGCAKTTGAGGCGGCAACGACGAAACAGCCGTCAGCGWTTTCCAATCAAAACAACCCTTCCATGCGCGGCATGCAAAACATTAACGGTCAGTTCACAATTTGCTACCWAAATTTATCTTCATTTATGTATACATATGCWTGTTTCCTTAAAGCCACATGTATGTAATGTTATATATACATATGTATATGCTTATATGCAATATTWTTTTCGCTAATGTCGACTTTGGCTGTTTTAATATGTTGTTTGAAGGTTTTAATTTAAATTATCATTTTTAAGAGTCATCTCTTGATTTGGCATATCCTTCTCGTCGGAGCGAGGATCCAATTAGAAGCAGTATGCATTTACATTTAGCACTTATAGTAAGCGTTTACATAGTAAAAAATAAAAATAAAGAGTATATCTAAGAAATATCATGACGAAACCAAATGAACCCTACGATAAGCCATGATTGATGAAGATATATTTTAGCATAAACCATACGCCAATATCACGATATAAATATTTATATATGTATATACACCATTGTGTACGTAGGACTGCAGTTAATCACAAGCAGAGGGCATGTTCCATTTTGAAAAAATTCAAATAAATTCCCGAAGGCCCCAAACGGTTAAACGTCTAACTCMACCAACCCTGGCTCTTATTTACTTTTTTAACTTTTGAACTGCTTATGAAAATATATATTTATAGGGTACATAGCTTTCAATTAACAAAGTAAAATTAGATCTTTATATAAGTAGACGAATCGGTTTTTTATATTTGATATTTTTGTCCCCTTTGAAGGTAATTGGCGTGAGAGCACTTCATTGTTCTTTTAGTACATATTCTAGTTTACGAACGAAAATTGCAATTATACATTCACCTAGGGATCAATTAAATTATGGTGCAGTGCAAAAACGCCTGCCAACATAACGGGTAAACTCATTTACACTTCAACAATTTAGTGGCGCACAAATATTAGCCGCTTACAATGCAATTAAATCTTAATGTGCTTAATGCGCTATGGAAATTATTTTCCATGCATACATACATATATGCATACTCAGCTGGAAAAGCTGCACCTCAGTGTCTTCTACGGATGGATTTGAACAGATCCACAGCTTGCTTATCTCCCTCTTTGGTTTGGACAATTGGTCAACGTACTCCTTGTGGTTTTCCCTGCAGGGCATTTATGTTTATCTGTGCAAAAGCGTATGTATGTTCATACATATGTAGATATACATGCGTGTGTTGCTGCGGCTAAGAAGTAAAAATAATTGAAAATATCAAAATGGAATACTATACTTTGGTAAAAATAGCGTGTTTGAAAATTATAATTATAATGCCATTCCTAGCATGGCAGAGAGGGGGTTTCGACCAGCGCACAGAAGAATAGACAATGAGCCGGTGATACACATTGAAGTAGTCAGAGACCTTAATTAAGCAACAGTCTATTTAGTGTGATGTCCGGTCTGGTGAATCCATCTATATGCAAAAGATTAAGCAGATATGAATATGTATTTAAATACATACACACTATACATACATATGTATGACAGTACGTGCATGCAATCAACAATGTTTGAGACCCCCTGCAAATGCCCGCAATCGCAAGACGTAAGCTTCCTAAGACATTGGCCACGTAAGTTTTACATCAAACGAGTGGGTAAATAAACATACATACACACATACATCTATACATATTTAACTGCTTTCATTTAGCCGATATATGTATATGCATAAGTATGAAAGCTAAGGAAAATATGCAAACTGCAGAGCAGAAATTGGCTACTTATCTAAGCAGAGCCATTGTCTATCGACGGTCAGTTGCTAAAGGTTAGGTTCTGTTAATCTGGTAGGCACGTGAGCCTCGCATAGACCAGTTGTGATCTTTAGCGATTCCAGATGGAGTGCGGTTATGTAGTTCACGAAAGGGTTTCAGGATGCCTGCGCTTGACGTGAATCTCAATAGGTTTTGTGACCCCAAAAACGACCCCTCTTCCCTTGTTTCATAACATAGGGTCAGCAAATGTTTGAAGTGTTGTCTTTCAAGTGCGCGACAATGCTCCATTGTTTCCCTGGTTGTTCTTTGAAAAATGCAAATGCCACTTTTGTGTTAATTAAGATCTTAGRGAGACAAAACATTAAATTTTTAGGGATAAATATTGATATTTATTAGCAATTATATTAAACATAACTACGAGATCTGTGAGGTGTAGGATTTACATTGTGTTGAAGTCAGAATAGCAAAATGAATTGTCGGTGGGGGGGATGTTATGGAATGTCTGAATGTTATCACCGCAGAAGGTTTAAATTCCATCTGATTCTTTCACTTTACAGTATGCAAACGAAACACAAATTAATATATAGGGATAGAACTTTGCACTTGTATTTCCTTATGGTATTTAATTTGCCCAAAAATTGTCGATTAGAAACAATATAACTGTAAAAATAAAAAATAGAATTTTTATGTTTCTGAAGTTTGAGCTGTGCGCATATAGAGATGTGAGTATAGATATAAGTTCAATTATGCACATACAAACATATATGTGTGTATGTGAGGATTCATACTATTGTTCATTCAAATATTGTACATACGAGTGAGGATTTTAGACGTTTTGGTTGTTTATTTCGACTTCAGCTTCAATAAACTACCGTTCAAGAAAAGTGATTGGCCTAATATAATTTTCATATTCACAATTATGTACGCACATACACACCATACATAATGCCGAGCATTGGAAATAATTCTGGGTAACTCCTATACATTTGTGGCGGCATACTCGCCAAATCCAAATCAGTCTTGCGATTCGAAAGCCACAACGGTGCGGAGAACAGATGTACGATGTATGTGTGTATGGGTGTGTATGGGTGCATTTATGTATTTCGAAGGAAACGTGCGTACACGACAAATTATCTTCATAAATAATAGCGCCAAAATAAATGGCAAAAGAGTTGAATGGTCTCTCGGTCCATATGCAAAGGTAGTGCGCTTGTAGCCACCGGATGGCTATTAAATAAAATCGAGAAGACCTTGCGAATGGACGAGTATTGACGGCGATCACCGGTGATGTTTGCCAAAACCTGTTATTAGCATTTCCGCTTTTTATTATTATTATATATTTTTCGAACAGTTTTCTAGAAATAAGCCAATCATTTCCAGAGCCAAAGGAATATTTAGAATTCRCTTTAAATCTAGTTGTCTTCACGAACTGCGCTAAATTATCCGTTAAGAAGACTTCTGCCCACAATAAAAATTGGTATTCAAATTAAAATGGAAAGGAAATTGTAATTGAGACAAATAGCCGACTTGTACTTGATTATATGAACGGGAACACTGTATCATCTGATTTATTTTTTATTTTGTTAAATATTCAAAACATGTAAATATATGTATACACATATAATCTACCTACTGTAGGAATCTGAATGTGTTGGCTTTTATGGGCCTTTTTTCAGAGAGACTTTAATGGTGCATCAACAAATTAGCAATAGTTGCCTTAGTGTGTGTGCGAGCCGAAGGACCGAATGCCATTATGAATATTGTACCTCGGAGTAATTGTTAATATGTATACTCTGTGCACCGCTACAAGGTGACTAAAAGGACCGCACACCACAGCGATAAATTATGATGTTGGCTTACATATTTGATGGTGTTGCTGCTGCTGCGGCGCTGCGGCACTTTGGCTCTAATTCGCCGTGCTGAGCATGCGGCTAAGCACCGGCTAACTTCGGACGCTAATAAAGCCCTCGCTTTCAACACATCCAACCGGTTCTGAGTCTTTAGATTTTGTTATGTCATGACGTGGTCCTGCCATGGCGCGCAGCAGAAGGTGCAATTCATTTCAAAGTTGAAAGCGGCGCCGTGTAATTAAATTGAGTAGCGCGCTAAAAATAATGGCTAATTTGGTTTTGACGTCTCCTGACATCTACATATGTTGTATGTGTGTGTTGCTCTTGCCACGTCCTGTTCATAACTACATGTGTACATATGTATGTATGTAAATGTGCATAAGCGCACTTTCGTGTTCATTTAAGGTTAATGGATTGGTGAGACACCTGTTTTGGGTTCGGAACTGTTAATACATTTCAAGCGTTTTTCAATAAAAGCTTGTGGCAATTAGCATTTATCGAATAACCGCAAGGAATCATATTACATATGTATATGTACATACATACATACARATAGGCACCCACATATGCCAGAAGAGTAAATGAAGACGTGCTGGTTTTCAATCTTCAAAAGCCTCCAGAATTTCCTCGGCATTTGCTGTGTACGGCGTTTACATGTTTTATTTTTGCTCTCTGGTGGATGCCAGGTCTGCAAGTGCCTGATTTAGTGCACGTTTTCCCACACTCTGCAAAACTGTGCGAAATGAGCCCACACATTGTTAGCCACGAAGGTTGCCGCCTCCAAACGAGCGCACGATGTATTGATATTCATTATATTTATTTATATGCAACATACTCGTATAATGTGCGCCGAAAATATTTGCATTCACTGCAGTACYACTTCCTTCGATTTTCACACCGATTTGCCTGCATCGGCATTTTGAGATATACAGAGTTTGCTCCGAAAGTAATAGGATTGATTTTCTTCCCCTGAGACAATACACCGATGCATTCAGTAGAGGGCGTTCTTAGCGAAYGAACGAGCACCTGGAGAGTCARAACAAACATTTTCGCGCGACGTGTTTCTGTAAGAGGAGCAACCCAAAAAACCCAGCGTTCGTTAGAGCAGAGGTACGCGATTGAATTCTGTGCGACACTTGGTAAATCTGCGACAGAGACGTTTGATTTAATCAAGCAGGCTTACCCAGATGTTGCTTCAAAAAGTARTAGCCGGGAAGAGGTCGCTGATGAATGAGCAAATACAAAGTGAAARCGATGCTCGTTGTCTTTTTTGACATTAAAAATATCGTTCACTATGAATTTGTTTCTTCTAGACAAATAGTCAACATCAAGTTTTACGTGGAAGTCCGATTGGAAGTTGCACCACGACAACGCCCCAGATGACACCGTCTTTCTTGCTACAGCTACCTAACTAAGGCCGGCATACCAACGCTTCCGCAGCCCCTACAGCACAGATGTGGCTCCCCTGGCTTT